ACTGCATGCCTTTGGACTGCAGTCTTACCATTAGGCCATCAGAGTTCCCAAACATATCACACATTAAGATATTTTTGACAGCAAATAGTAGCTTTCTCCCATATGAGTATTTCCTCTATACACACATTTTAGATATGCTGTTTGTTGTTGACTGCTGTTGAGTCGAGTATGACTCATAGTGACCCTATGAACAAAGGCCTGAAGCCTTTCTATAACTATCGTCATTTATCAAAGTTCATAGAGTTGCCAGAGGCATGTTGTTTAGGAAGTGGATGCAGGTTTAGTCTAATAAACACCCTCACTGTCACTGAGTCTGAACTGAGTCATAGCTGACCCTCCAACAGGTTTTCAGGAAGCTATAAATCACATGTAAAGAGATTGCCCATCTTTCTCCTGTGAAGCACGGCTGGTAGATTCAAACCACCAAAAAAGCACTACCTTGTAAATTGTACATCATAATTCTATTGGGAAAGTCTGATGTCAGGGACATCTCCAGAGTTGTTGTTGTTGTATGTGCCATCGAGTCATTTGCAACTCATAGTGACCCTATGTACAAGAGCCCCAAATGCTGTTCTATCCTGTGCCAATCTCGCTGTCTCAAACACATTCATTCCCATCACTCCACTCACAGAATTGATCCATCCCATCGAGGGTCTTCCTCTCCTGCACCTCCCTCCACTCTGCAAAATATGATGTCCCTCTCCAAGGACCAGTCCCTCCTTGCAACATGCCTAAAGTATGTCAGACTAAGCTTCAGAATCTTTGACTCCAGGGAACATTCTGGCTTCACCCTTTCCAGGACAAATCTGTTTGTTCTCCTAGCAGTCCATGGTATGTTCAACACTCTTCTCCAGCACCACAACTCAAAGGCATCAATTCTCCTTCTATCATCCCTATTCACTGTCCAACTCTTTGATGCATAGCACGTAATTGCAAAGACTATAGGCTGGATCAGGCGCACCTTAGTCTCCAGCCTGACATCGTTGCACTTCAGTACTCTTGAGAGGTCCCTCACAGCTGACTTTCCCAATGCAATTCGTCTCCTGATTTCCTTGTTGCTGTTACCAAGAGTGTTGACTGTGGAGCCAAGCAAATGAAAACTGTTAGCTATCTCAATCTCTTCACCATCCATATTGATGGTGCCAATTGGCCCAGTGGTGAGAATCTTTGTTTTCTTGATATTGAGCTTCAATCCATATTGAAAACTGCAGTCCTTCACCTTCTGCAGCAAGCGCTTCAGGTCCTAGCAAGTCAGTCTCCAGAGTACTGAACAGCAAAGATATCAGTCTGAAGATTAAGGTGCACCTGATCCAGGCCATAATCTTCACAATTATCATCATAGTAACCATCAATGATGATATGCATCAGAAAGCTGGACAATAACTAGAGATGATAGAAGGAGAATAGATGCCTTTGAGCTGTGGTGCTGGAGAAGAGTATTGAATATACCATGGACCACCAGGAGAACAAACAGGTACATCCTGGAGAGGATAAAGCCAGGCTGCTCCTTGGATGCAAGGATTCTGAGACTCCATCTGACATATTTTGGGCATGTTGCAAGGAGGGGCCAGTCCTTACAGAGGGCCATTATGCTTGGGAGTGTGGAGGGACAGCACAAGAGAGGAAGACTCTCAATGAGATGTATTGACTTGGTGACTGGGGTAACAGGGGTAGGTGTGTCGGAGACAATAAGGTGGGCTTAGGATAGAGCAGGGTTCAGAGCTATTGTACATAGGGTCACTATGAGTCACAGGCAACTTGAAGGCACGTAACAACAACAACAACATATACCCTTAAAAGGCCATTAACACAGTGTATGACTCATTCATTAATTGATTCTTAATATCATTTATTCAACTAATATGAATTGAACAGCTGTGATCACGTATATGTCAGAACTGCTCTAAGTGCTGGGGTGTAGAAGTGGAAAGAATAAACAAAATTTTCAAGTCTTTAATGCAATTTTTATTTTACTGGAGGAGGTATGTAAATAAGTAATCAAGAAAGTACATAATACAATGTTAGTCAATAATGAGTGGTATGAAAGAATAAAGGCAGTACAACTTCCTATGAATTCTGGCACCATTCAACTGCAGGAATATATCACAGTTTACATAACTGTTTAAATACATGTGTATGAGTGTGCATCCTCATATATTCATAGGAAAAATAATCTATATTCTTGAAGGAAAAAGTAGAAAAGACAGCTTAGCACAAAGAATCCCACTAATTTCTTCATTTAATAGATGTTTACTGAGTGTTCATTTGTGTAATGCAACTGCTAGAGATCATGCTTTATAATACTTTTTTAAAAGCATAAGGAGCAAAAGACAATGTACACAAATTTCGTAAGTAAACCAGTATAAAATAAAAATTTAATTTTTTTTAAAAAAAGGATAAGGAGCTATCTAAGATGCAGCTATTAGCCTTTTCCTGTAGAGTGAAAAAAAACCCCAAACACCTCAAAGAAGCAATTAATTCAAATTACTAACGGACCGCACACACCATTTCCTATTCAATCAATACAGAGGGCAGAACTTGATGAGTCCTCCCACTACTACTCACATACTTTGTGTGTTAACATACTGTGGCTATATTGCCAAAAGGAGCCAGTCACTGGAAAAAAAGACTTTTTCTGGGAAAGGCAGAAAGTTAGCGAAAGAGACAAAGACCCTGAAATAGATGGGTTAACACAGTGACTGCATCAAAGGGCTTGAGCAAGGCGGAGATTGTGAGAATGGTACAGGATAAGGCAAGGTTCCAATCTCCTGAGACTACAGCCCTAAAACATCTTTCTAATCTGGATCTGAGAGCACACATCTTAGTCATTCTCAGAGGCCACCTTTCAGAGTAACAACAGGCAGTCCCATAAAATAACAATAAACTAATACTCAAGAGGAACGTGTTCCTTAGGACAATGATTCAAGAACAAAAGGACAACATTGGACCAAAAGCAAAGAAAAGAAAGCAGAAATGGGTAGAAAATACAGATGGAAGGAAGCAAATCCCACAGCAGAAATGGGGAGAAAGTGGACACATTGTAGGGGATGCAATCAACGTCATGGAACACTTCAGCACAAATTGGTGAATAGGAAACTAATTTGCTCTGCAAAATTTCATCTCAAGCACAATAAAAATGTTAAAAATGAAAGAAACAAAAGTGTGGGAAAAGGAAAAATTTCAGGATATGAAATTTTAGTGAAACCACACAAATTAGGGAAAAATAAAGTAGAAAAGCAAAATCAACACACATAAACAGTTTATGATGTTGTTCAATGATGGGAGAGGAGGAAAATATCAGGTAACAGATGTTGTTGTTGTTATGTGTCGAGTCACCTGCGACTCATAGTGACCCTATGTACAATTGCCCTAAACACTGCTCTATCCTGTGCCAACCTCTCCATCTCCGACACACTCATTCCCACCATCCCAATCACAGAATCGATCCATCTCATCGAGGGTCTTCCTCTCCTGTGCTATCCCTCTACTCTCCCAAACATGATGTCCCTCTCCAAGGACCAGTCCCTCCTTGCAACATGCCCAAAATATGTCAGACGAAGCTTCAGAATCCTTGACTCCAGGGAACATTCTGGCTTCACCCTCTCCAGGACAAACCTGTTTGTTTTCCTGGCAGTCCATAGTATATTCAACACTCTTCTCCATCACCACAACTCAAAGGCATCAATTCTCTTTCTATCAACCCTATTGTACACATTTACAAAAGGTGCAAATATAAAAAAAATATAAGCCATGATTATTTCTGAGTCGTGAAATTTTTATTCTTTCCTGTTTATCTCTTATCCTTATTTTTATAAAACAAACATCATTTTAGTAATCATAAACATGTTATTTCATAAATGAAATATTTGCACATATTATGCCAGGAGGATATACAGACCTACATATCTGAGTTGAAGCTAAAATGTAATTCATTAAGGTTGTCAGACCAAGGGAAAATGCAAGCATCTTTATCATTTTGATTACTCAATAATAATGCTCCAAATTAATCCACTGCCAGGAGCACTGTTCAGGCTGCTTGGATGTGTGATAGGGCACATTACATAATTATCCATGCTAATGAGCACATACATATAACAAATGATGGACAATTAACATGGAACCTTACTTATTGCCTCTAGATCTACTTAGCAGAGAAATAGAGAGAAGGAGCCTGGAGAGGTATATTTAAGAAAAGCAACAAATTCCCCAAGTATAAATAGAAAATGAAATCCTTTTTTCTCTGTACTTTTGTCCCAATTACCCTTTATAAGGCCTTTTCTCTTTTTCATTTTTTATTATGCTAAATTTAAAACACTGAAAAATAGGTATATGTACACACTTAAAATAATAAGCCCATGTTGTCATTACCTAATTTCAACAGTTACCAATATTTGTAAAGGACTTTTATTCCAACTACGTGCCATGGAACAATAAGAAATAATATTTATGAACAAAAAAATTCTTTGTTGAAAAAAAGATTAGCATGAAACAAAAATGAAATAGTTTTTAAAACCTCATTTCATAGAACTGACCTAAACTTTGAAGAAGTGGCAAATTTTTCTAAGGCCTGATAACATGGTTATGACTCGCAGGTCACTAATCTCTAATGGCCACAGTCCCCCAAGTGCATATTAACCGAGTAATTCATTGCTGATGAGTCAGAACTGACTCAGAGTTGACCCTCCAACAGGTTTGCAGAAGTGAGAAATGAGGAGGCATATTTCCCATCTTTCTCCCACAAAGCAGCTGGTAAGAGCTGAACCATTTGCCTGTGCATTGGCAGCACAACTCCCTCAATGGAAGAATCAAAGGAAAGAAAGAAATAAGGCAGGAACTACGATGTTATAGGCCAGGATGGGCAAGAGTGACCGCTTAGCAGATAAGGCTAAAAGGATGTTTCTAAGACAAGACAGCAGCAGGCAGGGAGGGCCACCTTCATTTCACGAGTCTCAGAGCAGAGCCAGGGGGCTGCTAGCAAGCTGTCACCTGGTTGTACCTACCCAAACTGTTGTCACTGCTTGTGGGCCAGGAGGCGATTCTATCCCTCAGCTTCTTCTTTTTGTAGGAGTTGTCTGACTTCACAGAAAGCTCTCTCTCCTCCTTCCTAATTTCTCGAACGAGCTGCATGCGGCACCTTGTAAAGTCCTGAAAGGAAATCTTCCCATTTCCATCTGCGCCCAGCTGGGTCATGATCTCAGCCACAGACTCTTCCATATTCAACTGGCGACAGACCATTAGCAGGTCATTTCTACAGAAGGAGTTGAACAGAAGAAAACTTGTCAGGAGAGGTGTTTACACTAGAGAAAATTATTAAAAAAAAAAGAAAGAAAAAAAACCCTCACCACCCTCAATAGTGTATTTCTTAACTATACATAAGCACAGTACACTTATTACTGGTTTTCCCATTGCAGCTAGGAAAGTGGTTAAGTATTCAAAACTCTGTTCCATCTGGGTTATTCTAAACAAGAACTTCATTATTATGTGTGGGAGAATGAAGCAACTTTTAATCCTTTGTTCTTTTCTCTTCCTGTCTCCACACCCTCCCCACTGGTATGGTTTGTGTGTGTGTGATTTTCTTTTTTTCCTTTTGTAATTGACAGAGCACCTGTAGAGTGCAGCACAGTAATCTCACGTAAGATAAAGTTACAGGACACAGAGAAGACATTGTTTCTACTCTTGGCAGGCTTTAAAATCTAGTCAACTTATAAAAAAGAACAACAAAGATTTAAACAAGCTCAATTTTCAGCCTTCTGAACCAATCAGCTTGCTTTAGTACTTCTCTGAAATGCTTTTGATCTCAAATTTCATGATTCAGTGTGCATACTTATTTCTGCTCCACCCCTCTGCCCCAAAGTCTATGTATTTTCCATCTTCTCACCTGACAATGAGTAAACCCACGGCGCCACAGGAGAAGAATGGGCCAACGTCTCCTCCCATGTGATTTACAACCTCCAAAAAACCTCTGGAGAGTCAGCTATGAGTCAGTGCCAACACTCTGGTGGCTTATCAAAGACTATGCATCTCCTGAAGTTCAAATCTTATCAGTTAAAAAAAAAAATCTATCTGCAGGAAAAGATGTGCAGTCTCCTCCCATTAAGATTTACAGACTCTTAAACGCAAAGGAAGATTACTATGAGTCAGAATCGACTTGAAGGCAGTGAGTAAAGATGAGTGAATGACAGGTTGGAAGTTTCATTCCAGTCAGGAGCTTATCAGAAGACAGAAATGGAGCTGTACTTCTGAAACATCAGTCACTGAAAACTTTACAGAACACAATTCTATCCTGACACACAGGCTTGGAACAGACTCGATGGTAACTGGTAACTGATATGACTCAGAGCAGGAATAAAAATCCCAAATGCATTCTGAGACTAGCCACGTAAATGTGTAAAGTGGGTAGTTCTAGGACAGAAGGCTTGAGGACTCTGCTTGGATTGAGAAATATGAAGTCTATTCAGCCTATAGGCTGTCAAATTAAAAAACGAAAAAGGATATAATAACAATGAAAACCAAAAGGAGACAGCAAGAAGACTGCAGCTATGCAGGCCAGAAACAAGTAGTTGAAAGCCATCTGTATGACTCCTGGTACGCTTTAGTCTTTTTTCTATACAAGCTCCTTTGCAAAACATTTTGTTCAAGGAACTCTGGTGGCCTAGTGCGTAGGGAATTCCCTTCCCAATACAAAAACAGGCTGCTCTAATCCACCAGGTAATCAGAGAGAAAAAGATGGTCAATCACCTCCTGCATGAGTCGATGGCACATAAAACCATTTTGGTTTTTATAGAGATTTTTAGGAAATAATCTTAAAAATTAGCCTTACTGAAAGTGAAGAGATTTTCTAAATTGCATTTGAAGCCACAAAATAAGATGTTAACATCAGAAATCTCTGGTGGTAAAAATACAGTGTTTTCATTTTCTTGTTTTTGTCTCTGCATTATTTCTTGCCTTAGTACAATGCAGTTTGCTACTCTTACAAATGGCTGTCAGGTTTTAGGTTTTAAAGATGAGAACAATAATGGTGGCTATCTCAGAGGATTGCTCTGAAGAGAAATGAGATGTAGGCAAAGCTCTTAACATAGTTTCGGGCACATATTAAGTACACAATAAATAGTAGCCATTATTATGACTATTTTCTAATTACTTAGCATAGCTCTTTCTCAGTGCCCTAGTTTCAGTAAGCCTTTAGAATTAAGCAGGGGCTGCTTAGGGGAAAGGAATGCTTACTGAACTTGCTAAGCAGAATAGTCTGTCTGCACAAGCCCACCCCTTGCCTGGCCTCTGGGGCACTAGGCCCCACTGTACACCGTGCTGAGCAATTCACCTCTGTCCAGACTTGAGACAACCCACACTTCAAAACCACTTCCAGTAAAGGACCAGTTTCCTAGAAATGCTAGCTTAGAGAAGAGTGTGTAACATGGTTTTTAAGATGTGGGCTTTATAGGTTGGTATTGAAGAAAGAAAGTTAATTTTACTCTGCTAAATTAAGTCAGATAGTAATCTTGCATTTAGGAAATGCTAGTCTGAAAGGTTTCTTAGGGCCCGAGTTTTAGGGGTGCTACCGGTTGTTATCAGACCAGTAAGCTGAGTCTCTAATATTTTGAATTACGTTTTGCACTCTTCTTCCACTCCATCCAGGATCTTTTATTGCGATCCTGTTCGGAGCAGATGGCAGTGGTAGCTCGGTACTGCCTAGTTCTTCCGATCTCAGGCTAGTGGATACTGTGCCTTGTGTGGTTCATCTCTGGAGTATTATTTCTTGAGTCCTGAATTTACTTCACTGCTCCCTACTCCAAACAGGGAGATAACCAACAGCTATGTCCTAGACCACTGCTCAAAGGCATTTACAACTCCAGTCTCTACTTATCAAAATAAGACCTAGAACACTATTTATGGATGATGTTATGCCAACTGACCTATGAGAAAATGGTCCTAAAATCTCCAGCCCAACTGGCTCAGTCCAAAATGTGTTTGGTCATGAATAAAAAAAGTTATCATCACTTTGCTCCCAGTTTGTTCTGTTATATACCTGAACATATTTACAGCACATACAAAGATATATGTAGAAATATCTTCTATCAAACATTTTATATATATATATATACACATACACACACAGGCACATACATACTTGTGGGTGTATCTAGACATTTCTTTTAAGTGGAATAATACAGTATTTGTCCTCTAGTGTCTAACTTATTTTGCTTAGGGGGTTCTGGTGGTATTGCCTGTTGGGAGCTGTGCTAAGAATCCAAAAGCGGCAATTCTCTACGAGTTTGAAATGACCAGTGCTCTTTGAGAGAAAGATGATGGGCAATCTTTTCCTGTGTGATTTACAGTCTCCGAAAACTGACTAGATTATCACTTATGAGCTGGCTCTGACTCAACAGCAATGAGTTTGGTTTTATTTCACTCAGCATAATGTTTTCAAAGGTCATACATGTTGTAGCATGTATCACAACTTCATTTCTAGCTATGGCTAGGTATTATTTCCTTTGTATGGACAGATCACATGTCATTTACCCATTCACTTGTTGATGAATACCTGGGTTCTTTCCATCTTTGGCTACTAAGAATAGTTCTGTAATGGACATTGGTGGGAAAGTAGGTTTCCAGTCCTTGTTTTTGGTATACATCTTAGAGTGAAATTGATAAGGTGGTTCAATTCCACCGGCATCTCTGAAGGAGGATGGTGGGCAATCTCCTCCCTTGTAATTACAGACTGAGAAACACTGCTGGAGAGTCAGCTATGAATCAGTTCTGATTTCAACTCAAGGTGTGAATGAGTAAGAATATTTCTATGTGTAGCTTTTCTAGAAACGCTCGCATTGCTTTCCACATTGATAGCCACATTTTACATTCATATTAGTAGCAAGGGATAAGAATTCCAATTTTGCCACATCCTGCTTCACATTTTCTATTTTTCTGTTTTTTGTTACTGTGCTATTGAAGGGAACTCTGGTGGCTTAGTGGTAAGAAACTGTGCCGCAATCCCAAAGGCAAATAGTTCAAATCCACCAGCTGCTCCATGGGAAAAGGATGGACAATCCCCTCCTGTGTGATTAACTGCCTCTGAAAACCACTGGAGGGTCAGCTACTGGTCAGTTCTGACCAGATGGTACTCAGCAACTCAGCATGTGCTGTTGAATAGGTCCCAACTCACAGCTGATTCTCCAGCAAGATTTCAGAGGCTCTCAATTGCAAAGGAGGAGATGATCATCTTTGTCCTGTAGAGCAGGTGGTGGATTCAAACTGCCTGCCTTTGGATTGGCGGCATAACTCCTGCCGAAAACTCCTCTAAAAGTCCTCAGAGTCACCAAGTCAATTTTGACTTATGGTAACTTTCCATTGGGCTCTGAGGCTGTAACTCTTAACAGGAGGACACTGCATCATCTTTCTCCCATGGAGCAGCTGGTGGGTTCAATTTGAGGGATATCATTACTGCTGTTACATGGCTGAAAGCAGAGAACACCAGAAGAATGTCTATTTATGTTTTATTGATCATGCAAAGGCATTTGACTATGGGGATCATTGAGAAGAATGGGAATTCCAGAACATTTAATTGTGTCCAAGCAAAACCTTTATTTAGACCAAGAAGTTGTCTGAAAAGAGCAAGGGAACACTGCATGGTTTAAAATTAAGAAAGGACTGTGTTAAGGCTATATTCTCTCTCCATACCTTTTCAATCTATATGCTGAGTAAGTCATTCAAGAGGCTGGATTTCATGAAGAAGAGTGTGGCATCAGGATTGGAGGAAGATTCATCAGCCACCTGCAATATGCAGGTGACACCACCTTGTTTGCTAAAAGCAAAGGAACTTGAAATGCTTGCTTCAGGAGATCAGATTACAATCTTTACTATGGGTTACATCTCAATATCAAGAATACAAAAATCCTCACCACTGGACCGATAAACAATATCAAGATAGATTAAGAAAAGATTGAAGTTGTCAATGATTTAATCTTGCGTGGATCCAGAGTCAACAGCACTGTTAACAGTAGTCAAGGAAACAAAATACATATTGCAGGACAATGCAGTCATTTCAATTAGCAAATAGGAACAAGATATGTATAACTGTTCAAAAGCAAACAGAGATAAAAAGTGGGGAAGAAGGGTAAGGAAATCACTAGGACAGCAGAGACTAATAGGCCTGTGTAAATGAACAGAGCAGATGCAATCGGGACTTGATAAGATGTGGTGATAAAGTTCCTAGGACACTAGTAATTGATTACATAAAACACAATAGTTAAA